CAAAACACACGATACCTTGACTGGAACAAGTGAACAAAAGTTCTGACCTGTGAGAGGGACTTATGGTATTGTCTTCTGACCTTCTCTACTCTTCTCACCTTAGTAGTGACCTGACAATGGGTCCAGGACGGACTGAAACATCGTCGGAAGGTGTCTCTCCTGGGTCCAGGACGGACTGAAACATCGTCGGAAGGTGTCTCTCTTATGTGAGAGTGTTTTCTTTTGGAGAATTTCACTCATGTATTCCCTAGGCCTCTCCCTAGGCCTCTCCATACAAATTATCAAGTTTCTTCCGGTTATTCGTCTTTTACATTCTAATTAATACTCAGACTAGTTTGGTTGCAGACCTTTGGGCCTAGAGTTATTGCGCCTACTTAAGCAGGTGTGGGTTCCACACTGGTACCAGGTACTCGAGGACTGATCTAAGATAATGAGAATATTATTCTGACGTCTGACTGTTTGCTAGTCATACACATGGCTAATGAATTTATATGGCTCATGTCTACTTGATTGTATGTACTTACTTATTTGAGGTTGCAGGGGTCGATTCACAGCTCCTTTGTGTATCTGTGATTGTGTGTGTGTGTGTGTGTTCATCTATATGTGGTTGCAAGGGTCGAATCACAGCTTCTGTTTGTGTGTGTGTGTGTGTGTGTGTGTGTGTGTGTGTGTGTGTGTGTGTATGTGTGTGTGTGTGTGTGTGTGTGTGTGTGTGTGTGTACACACGTGCTTGCTTCAGTATGACCACTAAGTTGACGGTTCTTTTGTCCCAGGTGCAACGGGAGCTTAAAAGACTCACCCCTGACACAATCCTGTGTAATCCCGAGGCGGGTGTGGGAGCACAGGTCAATAAAACAAGAGCTCTCGCTGTAATAATAATTACTTTATTGTACAAACTGACCCTGGGCAACTACTGCCCACGCTCAGTCTTTATCCCTCTCAACAGATGACGCACATATCTGCGCCATTTCTACCCTGCGCTGCGCTTCAGCACAGCTATATACATCAATGATGTCATCACTGGGCCTAACATCATGGTTTAGGAACACCTAAACAACCGGTTTATATAATTTTGACATCGTTTTAACGCGACTGGCAGCAGCGAGTGGGACTAATGCTTTGGAGTTGGCTATAGGGCCACTCACGGCTGACACCGTATCCAGCCCAATATTGGTGGTCATACCTTCACTCCCAGCGGTACTCCTGACTTTTATTCTACATTTTAAATGTATTTTAAAACCCGTTTAATTCTGTGACGTCGTAGATAATACACTCTGTGATAGGTCCAGCTTTAAGGTGACGTTAAAACTGTCATGACTAGAGTGACGTGACTGACTCAAAATTGTTGATAATGATGCTACCCCAGGTGTGACATGAGCTATTAGAGCGATCAGGTGAACCGTGCCACCTTCTTCTTTGTCTGTGTGACAGCTGACTGACTCTGAAAGCTGATCATCACATAAAACTTGTTAAATAATCTCAGTAACAAGTTGAACAAGTCTGCCATGGCGGCCATGTTGATGACGTCACATCCGGATACAATAACATTATGGCGGCCATGTTGATGACTTCACATCCGGATACAAAAACAATATGGTGGCCATGTTGATGAAGTCACATCCGGATACAATAACAATATGGAGGCCATGTTGTTGACGTCACATCCATATAGAAAAACAACAATATGGAGGCCATGTTGACGTCACATCAGGATACAATAACAATATGGCGGCCATGTTGATGACGTCACATCCGGATACAAAAACAATATGGTAGCCATGTTGACGTCACATCCGGATACAATAACAATATGGGGCCATGTTGAAGACGTCACATCCGGAAGATAAAGGTTAACAAACAACAACAACAACAACACATAAGTCTGGGTGGTCCACCTAGGCAATTCTCACCACTATATACATCATATACACAACATATACACACAAGTCATATACACAATATATACATTACATGGCAGAAAGTACCAGTGACTAGACATTTCTATGAGTAAAAATGGCGTTACGAACGCCAACAACCATAAAATAACAACCTATACTTTGACACTTAAGTAACTACAGGTCATAACAGCCAGAGCAGAGATCTCAGGACCCGTCAGGACCCTCTGATGAGTAGGACCCTCTGACAAGCAGGACCCTCTGACAAGCAGGACCCTCTGACAAGCAGGACCCTCTGACAAGCAGGACCCTCTGACAAGCAGGACCCTCTGACAAGCAGGACCCCTGACAAGCAGGATCCCTGACAAGCAGGACCCTCTGACAAGCAGGATCCCTGACAAGCAGGACTCTCTGACAGACAGGACCCTCTGACAAGCAGGACCCTCTGACAAGCAGGACCCTTGACAAGCAGGACCCTCTGACAAGCAGGACCCTCTGACAAGCAGGACCCCTGACAAGCAGGATCCCTGACAAGCAGGACCCTCTGACAAGCAGGACCCTGACAAGCAGGATCCCTGACAAGAAGCAGGACCCTCTGACAAGCAGGGACCCTCTGACAAGCAGGACCCTCTGACAAGCAGGACCCTCTGACAAGCAGGACCCTCTGACAAGCAGGACCCCTGACAAGCAGGACCCTCTGACAGGCAGGACCCTCTGACAAGCAGGACCCTCTGACAAGCAGGACCCTCTGACAAGCAGGACCCTCTGACAAGCAGGACCCTCTGACAAGCAGGACCTCTGACAAGCAGGACCCTGACAAGCAGGACCCTCTGACAAGCAGGACCCCTGACAAGCAGGACCCTCTGACAAGCAGGACCTCTGACAAGCAGGACCCCTGACAAGCAGGACCCTCTGACAAGCAGGACCTCTGACAAGCAGGACCTCTGACAAGCAGGACCTCTGACAAGCAGGACCCTCTGACAAGCAGGACCCTCTGACAAGCAGGACCTCTGACAAGCAGGACCCTCTGACAAGCAGGACCCCTGACAAGCAGGACCCTCTGACAAGCAGGACCTCTGACAAGCAGGACCCTGACAAGCAGGACCTCTGACAAGCAGGACCCCCTGACAAGCAGGACCCTCTGACAAGCAGGACCCTGACAAGCAGGACCTCTGACAAGCAGACCCCTGACAAGCAGGACTCTGACAAGCAGACCCCTGACAAGCAGGACCTCTGACGAATGCAAAAGGACCCCTGACAAGCAGGACCTCTGACAAGCAGGACCTCTGACAAGCAGGACCCCTGACAAGCAGGACCTCTGACAAGCAGGACCCTGACAAGCAGGACCTCTGACAAGCAGGACCCCTGACAAGCAGGACCTCTGACAAGCAGAACCTGACAAGCAGGACCTCTGACAAGCAGGACCTCTGACAAGCAGGACCTCTGACAAGCAGAACCCCTGACAAGCAGGACCTCTGACAAGCAGGACCTCTGACAAGCAGGACCTCTGACAAGCAGGACCTCTGACAAGCAGGACCTCTGACAAGCAGGACCTCTGACAAGCAGGACCTCTGACAAGCAGGACCCCTGACAAGCAGGACCTCTGACAAGCAGGACCTCTGACAAGCAGACCCCTGACAAGCAGGACCTCTGACAAGCAGGACCTCTGACAAGCAGGACCTCTGACAAGCAGAAAAACCCTGACAAGCAGGAACCTCTGACTAAGCAGGACCTCTGACAAGCAGGACCTCTGCAAAACAGGACCCACATACCGACAGGACATCTGAATAGCAGACACTTGGACAACAGATTGACATTAGGGAACTCCCTCACAGAGAGATTCCAGTCATGAAGAGCAGACTTCCTGACAGAGAACCCCCCTGACAATCTTCACCATCCTTGGACGAAGAAGCCTTGAGCGAAGTCAAGAGTCCTAGTCTGACAAGGTTCAGCTCAAGACTGAAGTGCCTTAGTGTTGGGAAATGTTACCGCTTAATAAGACTCACGTGCAACGAGATATGTATCTTTATTGGTGAAGTTTCCTTGCATCAGCAGTAGAATTCTTGCAGATTCAAATACTGAGGCCTAATCTCGTACAGTCAAGACGACAAGTGATGAGATCCAGCCCAACGTTGGGAAAAATACGATTTGATGTGTAGTCCTCAGTCAGGAGGAGAGACTACTCATGGCGATTAGCAGATCCGGAGGGATTACCTCTTCACACGGTATCAGACGACAGATGAGATCTGAGGGGAAAGAGCTCATTGCTGGAACAATGACTTCTGTTAGGTAAAAAATCCCGGAGTATGGGGGCCCAGGGTTCTAATCTTCAAGACAAGTAGTCGTTTGATTGGTTTGGGGTTGCTCCTACGGTCAAAACGTCTGGTAGCCTCAAATAAAGATACGGGATTGTTGGGAGCTGTCCTTTTCTGGTTTTAACACTCGATTAAGTTTCGTTTCAGGGTTCTAGTGATGAGATCTCCTCTGCAGAGTTGGTGGATCACTGGAGGTTTTAATACTGTAAAGTTGATCAGTACGACCATGATTGTTTCCGAGGAAGGCGGAAACCCAGATATACAGATTGACTGTTAGGGGGACTGTAGATCATAACTCCTGCGAGGTTGGATGATGGGCGCGCTACTTGTCTGTGAGTTGTAATGTCCACGCTAAGCCAGATTGTGCGAAGATGAAGATAGTGATGGTTACATGTGCAGGGCATCCTCATGGTCTAATTGCATCAATCCTGTTGGTTGATGGTCGGTCACTCATAAAATTCCTGTGTCGGAGTAGTTGGGGACTCGTCTTCTCAACAGGCATTAAAAGGTCTAGATAGTCGTTATTGGTTGCGTATGCTCAGTCTGCAGGTGCACGCCTGGGTGGAGTGAAGGAGGGCTACTTGGTACGCCTGTTCGTAATGATAGTGAGACAGAGATTCTATGAGGATACTGTCTGCCTTGTCTGTCCTTGACTCAAAACACCTGTAATAATGATAGTTTCTCAGTTTAGGGGAAGAGTACTGTAGACGGTCTCTAAGCAGAGGTCTGTGTGGACCACCTACTTTTCAGTCTGATGTGATCATGAGCATTCCCAGTACTTGGGTTGCTGCTGATGAGGCAGACGGACTTGACATTACTTGCTGTAGGGGCCACTTCTCATTGGTCTAACTTGCCTCAAGGTCTGTTGGATGATGGTCGGCGCCTCTCCTGTGCTCGCTGGTCTTCAACTCTGTCTTCTCACACAGCATAAAGCAAGAATAACAAGTGGCAGACTAGCTGAAGATAGTCGCTAGCTCAAGTGAGCCAGGGCACTGCCCTGGGGGAGTGAAGGATGCTAATGGATGATTCAGATCCTTGTTTCGGTAATGAATGGGATTGGATCACCTCAATCTGGATAATACTTCTCCTTGCTGCCTCGCGGGGAGATAGGTATAGGGAATGGCTGGAAAAGGGATAGGTAAGGTCTTCTGGGATGAAGTTACTGGCTTCTTGACCGAGACATTAAGCAGGACTAGACAATGTGTGACACCGGGTCAGTGTGAGGGGAAGGAGTTAGGTCAGGCAACACCACAGGTCACCACAGGGTGGTGGAAGCTGTGTTATGGTGCAGACAAAGGATTCTTTGGCTTGTGGTTAAGGAAGAACACGACAGTTGGACGTGTTGTGAGGGGTCAGGAGGCGGAGGTGGCGGTGAGGTGAGCCAGCAGTAGCCATCAGCCCAACAAGGACGGAATCTTGTGGAAATAGGGCGCGCCAGAGGACCCTGGCAGCGCAGGCGGACCGATGAGAAATGGGTTCATGAAGTGGGCGGGGATAGGCGGCGGCATGGTGGCAGGAGGGTGGGATAGTGAGGTGAGGGAGGCCATGCTGGTGGGGAGGGAGGTGGCGCCACCCATCAGGGACGGCAGCACTGAGAACTGTCTGGTCAGCGGAGTGGAGGGGCTGGACCTCATGCTACCCTCTGCTACAGGAGACACAGACGGAGACGTGGACGTGTAGGGAGTGTTATCGTGGAGCTTTCTCATGTGCTTCTTCAGGTCGAAGTTGCGGCAGAAGCCCTTGCCGCAGATGGAGCATTGAAAGGGCTTCTTGTCATTGTGAGTATGCATGTGGAAGGTGAGGTTGTACACCTGGTGGAAGGCCTTGTTGCAAACGTGGCACTTGTAGGCCTTCTCCCCAGAGTGGGTCAGCTTGTGGTTCTTGTAGTTGCCCTTCTGATGGAAGCCCTTGCCACAGAACTCACACACATAAGGCTTGTAGCCGTTGTGGATCCTCACGTGAGTGTTCAGCGTTGACGACCTGTCATACAACAACTTCATTAAGTACTCAGCACGCTACAAGACTCAACTTTCTCTACATTACAAAACTAATTTTTTCTGCACGCCACAAAACGTTCAACTTTCTTTACACGCTACAAGACTCTCGACCCAGTCGGAGGCTACACTGGGAAAAAAATAATGAATCAAAGAACTAGGGAAACATTTATTCAATAGGTTTTTTAATTAATTAAAGACTTTTTTAATAGTCGGAGGCAATACTAGAAAAATAAATAATAACTCAGTAGGAGAAAGCTTTGAAAATACTGTTTTACTAGATTCTTTAATTAATTAAAGACCTTTTTATATATAGACGGAGGCAATCCTAGGAAAAAAAATACACAATACTTTGAGCAAAGACAATGTTGATTTAATAGATTTTTTGAATAATAAATTAAATATGATTTTGTTTTGATTATTAACCCGATGGGTTAGTAGCCCATTAAAGCTATGTCATCAAGACTGGCTTGCTGCTATTGAAGAGGGGGGGGTCCCTTAATTCCCTCCCCCAGGATGCTTCCCACACCAGTCGGCTAACACTTACTGGTGGTAATAACGATAGAATTACTGACAGAATGTTAGGTAAATGGACACAGATGCATCTAATATGACATTTTATTGTGGCAACGTTTCGCTCTCCAGGACCTTTGTCAAGCCTTAATGGCTTGACAAAGGTCCTGGAGAGCGAAACGGTCCTGGAGAGCGAAACTGTTTCCAGTTACCTACTTACTGCTAGGTGAACAGGTGCAAGATGTGTAAGGAAATATTCTCAAGGGTTTCACTCGTGCCGGGGACCGAGCCCCGGTCTCTCAGTGTGTGAGCCAAGGCTTAAGACTCACCTGTTGAAGGCCTTGCCGCAGGTTTGACACTTGTGAGGCTTCTCTGAGGTGTGTATGATCTTGTGTCGGCATAATGTAGACGCTTGTCGGAACCCTTTCCCACACACCTGTAATGACATCACCTTCAGTAGACGCCTCTGGATCCTACCATTACCACCACTACCACCATACACAAATCACTGCCATAAGAACATACGAAAGGAGAAGAACTTCAGAAGGCCTACTGGCCCATGCTAAGCAGGTTTATCTTATACCCATCCATACCTAATCACACACTTCTCCAGCCCGTTTTAAAAGCTGCACAAGGTTTTAGCTTCAATGACGCTACTCGGGAGTTTGTTTCACTCATCCTCACCTCTATTAACAAACCAGTGCTTTCCTACATCCTTTCCAAATCAAAATTTTTCCAACTTGACCCATTACTGCGAGTCCTGTCTTGGTTAGAGATTCTCAGCACATTATTTACATCCCCTTTATTTGTTCCTGTCTTCCATTTATACACCTCAATCATATCCCCCTAATTCTACACCTTTCTAGAGAGTGCAGATTCAAGGTCCTCAGTCAGTCCTCATAGGGAAGATTTCTGATACATGGGTCCAACTTTGTCCTCCTCCCCTACATGTTTTCCAGCGCATTTACATCCATTACATGACACGGAAATCAGAACTAGCATAATCTAAAGGAAACATGATCTGAACGATACGTAGAGTTGAAGTATAACCTGAGAACTCATGTTACTTATACTTCTCGACGTGAAGCCAAGTATTCAGGTAAGTTTACTGCCAACACTTATACAATGTTGACGCCCCGAGGTCAACACTATCCTCCTTTCCTGCATGTTTTCCAGGGCATTCATGTCCCCTCTGTGACATGGAGACTAGAACCGAGCTGCATAATCTGAAGGAGGCCTTACTAAGTCATTGTAAATCTTCACTATCTCAATAATCAATAACACTTATTGATAAAGATAAATACGGCACATTTATAGATATAGATATCTTTTAGATTACAGTGATTGAAATGGAAAAAAGACAATACGCAAAAAAAAAAAAAAGAGAATAGGGTATAAATTTACAAATATAGATGATAATGTTGGATGATTGGGATTAGCTAATATATAATCCTGGGTAATTGGGATTAACAAAGTTATATTGCTGGATAAGTAGGATTAGCTAAGATATAGTTCTGGATAAGTAAGATTAGGATTTGTTGAAGGGTATACCTTGTAGAGATATTTGTGGTGGTATCTCAGGTATGGAAAAGATACCCATGACCAGGCCTCAGGGATAAATATCCCTGAGGCCTGGTCATGGGGGATTGATTGACCCTCTAGGAATACCCTCCAGGTACACCAGTACCCAGGGGTATCCCTCAGGGGCAGGATACTCACCTTACAGACGAAGGGTCTGGCCCCTGTGTGTACTGGCATGTGTCTTGTCAGGTTATAATGGGCGTTAAACACCTTGCCACATTCTGTACAGGTGAAGGTCTTTTGTGTTTTGCCCACTCCGCCGCCCACGCCCGCCCCTCCGCTCTTCTTACCGCCCACTGCCACCCCACCGGGGTCCTCAGGGTGGCTTCCTGGCGGGAGTGCTGCTGGGGTGGCACTGGGAGGGACTAGGCAGGCTGTGTTAGGCAGACCAGGAGATGTGGTGATGCTGGAGGTTCCTGGAGTGTGAGATGGGGAGATGTGTTAGTTTTTGGGTGATGCTGGGTTATGCTGGGTGATGCTGGGTGATGCTGGGTGGTGGTGGGTGATGCTGGGTGATGCTGGGTGGTGCTGGGTGGTGCTGGGTGATGCTGGGTGGTGGTGGGTGATGCTGGGTGATGCTGGGTGGTGCTGGGTGGTGCTGGGTGATGCTGGGTGATGCTGGGTGGTGCTGGGTGATGCTGGGTGGTGCTGGGTGGTGCTGGGTGATGCTGGGTGGTGCTGGGTGATGCTGGGTGATGCTGGGTGATGCTGGGTGATGCTGGGTGATGCTGAGAGGTACTGGGTGATGCTGGGTGATACTGGGTGATGCTGGGTGATGCTGGGTTATGCTGGGTGATGCTGGGTGATGCTGAGTGGTACTGGGTGATGCTGGGTGATACTAGGTGATGCTGGGTGATACTAGGTGATGCTGGGTGATGCAAACAATAACTAGAAGACAAAAACAAAGGTTCACAAACACACTTGTAAACAATACAAAGGTTCACGAACAAGAACAACGCTTTCTGTACCTGTGTTCTCCGGCCGTGGTGAAACGTTGGAAGAGTTGGGCGGCGCTCCTGGGCCCCTGGGGGCTCCCCCTGGGGTGGTGGAGGCAGGGAGAGGGGAGAGGGAGGGGGGAAGGGAGGGAGGGGGCTTGAGGTCGGTGAGTACCCTGGGGGAGGTGTTGGAGGCGGTGTTGTTGGAGGAGGAGGTGCTGGAAGAGGAGGTGCTGGAGGAGGAGGTGTTGGAGGAGGTATTGTTGGAGGAGGTGTTGCTGCAGGAGGAGGTGCTGGAGGCCACGGAGACGCGCGTCACAGAGAGGTCGTACGCCCGTGGCACCTGTGCCTCCAACGGTACCTTCGACGCCACCTGCAGGAAGACAAACACACGCTGTAATAATGTTTAGTAAAAACATACCAGTGGAACAAACGCGACGTTTGACTGTGGCAACGTTTCGCTCTCCAGGAGGTTTGTCAAGCCGTTATATCCAATACAAATTTATGTTGAGGTAGGTTGACCAGGATGGGCTCTGGCCCGGGTCCTTGCCCAGGTCCTAGCCCGGGTCCTGGTCCGGGTCCAGGCCCGGGTCCTAGTCCGGGTCCTGGCTCGGGTCCTAGCCCAGGTCCTAGTTCGGTTCCTGGCCTGGGTTCTATCCCGGGTCCTAGTCCGGGTCCTGGCCTAGGTCTTCTCCATATGGTGACCCAACAATGGCTCCCGAAGGAGTGTCGATGTTTATATAAACAATGGTACTCTTTACAGCAGGGGCAGCCCTATGACAAGGGCGCAATGTGTGGAAAAAAATACATGCACACGGAGGGGTATATACAAGTATATACAGGTATAGAGGTACAAAACGTAATAGTGGTAGGTAGTAGTAGTAGTAGTAGTACCTGTGGTAGTACTAGTAGTTAGTGGTAGCAGCTATGAGATGGCGGGGTTTATTGCAGATACTTCAGAAATGATGAAGTTGTCTTTATTTTCTTTACTTGTGTTAGAACTAGCGATTAGTGATGATTCAAGGCATTTACGTCTACGGAAATTAGGTTCCTGTCGGAATTCCTATGTTGTACACAGGCGGTGTTCAAGTTATCGTTCCTACATGCATTAATATATTCACTGAGAGGTATTTCGAGGTTTCTTGCTGTTTCACCTACGTATATCCTATCACAACCTCCACAGGGGATAGTATAGTAGGGAAACACTATAACGTGAATAAGTGATTTAAAAACCACTGTTCACAAAAACTGCTGATAGGGCGTGGAGAACTGACAACCCAAAGGGCTATTTTCTTGCAGATTTTGATGAAAAAGAAAGGGAAATGCCGCTGGGTGAAGGCCTGCTGAGTGTACATATACTCCTTATCGAGAAATTCTGGACTGCAAATTCGGTATGCTCTTAAGGGAACAATCCAGTAATGATTCCTCTTTTGGTGTTAGTATCTTCACTGGAACAGAAGTGTGTGAGATGGGTTTTGTTTGTAGGTTTCTGGTAAACTTGAAGCCTTCAGAGTATAGTCTACTTTGTGAATGAGGACGTTTAGCAAACTTGTTACTGGGGTTATTGTTCAAGTGTAAACTAGATGGCCGGCTCAGCTGTGTTGAGTCTTGCCTGGAGACTCCGTACATCACGACGCTGTGTTGAGTCTTGCCTGGAGACTCCGTACATCACGACGTCTGTAAGATATTACGAGGACTTTGTGCACATAACGTAACCAAGCCGTCACATAGCTACTACCACTACTGCTACTGCTACCTCAACTACTACTACTACTACTACCACAACTACTACTACTACTACCACCACAATAACACTACTACTACTACTACCACCACAATAACTACTACTACTACCACCATAACAACAACTACTACTACTACTACTACCACCACAATAACTACTACTACTACTACCACCACAATAACTACTACTACTACCACCATAACAACAACTACTACTACTACTACTACCACCACAATAACTACTACTACTACTACTACCACCACAACAACAACAACTACTACTACTACTACTACTACCACCACAACACTACTACTACTACCACCACAACTACTACTACTACCACCACAACATACTACTACTACTACTACCACCACAATAACTACTACTACTACTACCACCATAACAACAACAACTACTACTACTACTACTACCACCAAAACTACTACTACTACTACCATCACAACTACTACTACTACCATCATCACAACTACTACTACTACCATCACAACAACCACTACTACTACTACCACCACAACAACTACTACTGCTACTGCAACAATTACTACTACCCACAACAATTATACAATGTTTCGCACCTCACGCTAATACCTATATAAACCCTGTGTCCATGTATTGTTTGTAACGACTTGACGTTTAGCTCCTGGAGAGCGAAACGTTGCCACAATAAAGTGTCACATTAGTTGCCCATGTGTCCTTTGACTTAAAACATAGGCTACACCTCCCCCCGGCAACGCTTGTACCTTTGTATCCCAGGTACCTTTGTAACCCATGTACCTTTGTAACCCGGGTACCTTTGTAACCCAGGTGCATTTGTACCCCACGTACCTTTGTAACCCAGGTACATTTGTAACCCAGGTGCCTTTGTAACCCAGGTACCTTTACAAACTAGATACCTTTGTAACCCGGGTACCTTTGTAACCCAGACACATTTGTAATTCAGATACCTTTGTAACCCAGGTACATTTGTAATCCAGGTACCTTTGTAACCCAGGTACATGTGTAATCAGGTATTTTTGCAACCCGGGCACATTTGTAACCCAGGTACTTTTGTAACCCAGGTACCTGACCTCAATTGTAGGCAAATTACTAGAGTCAATTATAGCTGAGATTATAAGAAGCCATCTCGATAAGCATAGCTTGATTAATGATACTCAGCATGGATTCACAAGAGGCCGGTCTTGTCTAACTAATTTATTAACTTTCTTCAGTAAAGCTTTTGAGGCTGTTGACCACGATAAAGAGTTTGATATTATTTACTTAGATTTTAGTAAGGCATTTGATAGAGTTCCACACCAAAGACTGTTAAAGAAAGTGGCAGCTCATGGTATTGGGGGAAAAGTGCTCTCGTGGATCGCGTCATGGCTCACTGACAGGAAGCAGAGAGTGTCCATAAATGGGGTTAAATCCGAGTGGGGATCAGTAACAAGTGGGGTTCCACAGGGATCAGTCTTGGGCCCGTTGTTGTTTATAATATATATCAATGATCTTGATGAAGGAATTACTAGTGATATGAGCAAATTCGCCGATGACACAAAGATAGGTAGGATAATTGATTCAAACGTAGATGTTAGGGAACTTCAGGAGGATTTAAACAAACTCTACTCTTGGTCAGAAAAGTGGCAGATGCAGTTCAATGTAGATAAATGCAAGATTCTGAAGCTCGGGAGTGTCCATAATCCTAGCACTTATAAGTTAAATAATGTAGAACTTAGCCATACAGATTGTGAAAAGGACTTGGGGGTTATGGTAAGCAGCAACCTTAAACCAAGACAGCAATGCCTAAGCGTACGTAATAAGGCAAATAGATTACTGGGATTTATATCAAGAAGTGTAAGCAACAGAAGTCCAGAGGTCATACTGCAGCTTTATACATCATTAGTAAGGCCTCACCTAGATTATGCAGCTCAATTCTGGTCTCCATATTACAGAATGGACATAAATTCGTTAGAAAACATTCAGCGTAGGATGACTAAATTAATACATAGCATTAGAAATCTTCCTTATGAAGAAAGATTGAAGACTCTTAAGTTACATTCAACTTGTTAGACGAAGAATGAGGGGAGACCTGATCGAAGTGTATAAGTGGAAGATAGGTATTAATAAAGGGGATATTAATAAGGTCTTGAGGATGTCTCTCCAAGAGAGAACCCGCAGTAATGGATTTAAATTAGATAAGTTTAGATTCAGAAAGGACATAGGAAAGTATTGGTTTGGAAATAGGGTAGTTGATGAGTGGAACAGTCTACCTAGTTGGGTTATTGAGGCTAGGACTTTGGGTAGTTTCAAATTTAGGTTGGATAAGTACATGAGTGGGAGGGGTTGGATTTGAGTGGGACTTTCACATCAGAGCTTATTTCTTGAGTGGCATTGAAAATTGGGTTGGTCAAATGTTTTGTTAGTGGGATGAATTGTAAAGGACCTGCCTAGTATGGGCCAACAGGCCTCCTGCAGTGTTCCTCCTTTCTTATGTTCTTATGTTAACACAGGTACTTTTGTAACCAAGGTACCTTTGTAACCAAGGTACCTTTGTAGCTCAGGTACCTTTGTAAACCAGGTACATTTGTAACTCAGGTACCTTTGTAACCCAGGTACCTTTGTAACTCAGGTACCTTTGTAACCCAGGTACATTTGTAACTCAGGTACCTTTGTAACCCAGGTACCTTTGTAACTCAGGTACCTTTGTAACCCAGGTACATTTGTAACTCAGGTACCTTTGTAACTCAGGTACCTTTGGGGTACATTACAATATCATCTATCACTCCCATAATTTAGGGGTGGTCATTTGACGACGTTTCGCGCCTTGTTGATGGACCGGGAGCGACATGCCGTCTAGTCATAGAGAAATCATCCGAAACATCGACAGGACGGTCAAGGGGAGACCCCCAAAGGCGACTTTTCGCACGCCGTGTGGGGCGAAAGGTGCAGTGGTACTCACGCTGGTGTAGGGAAGGGCGGGGGACGGCGCAGCCTGCGTCTGCGGCCGCGGCTTCAGCAAATCGAGGCGTGTGAAGGCTGAGAGGGCGTGGGGCGTCAGCCTGTGGGCGGGGGCGGGGCTCAGGTGGGCGGCGGCGGCGGGCGACGGCTGCGGTGGCGGCGGCAGCGGTGGCGGCTGGGTGGTGGCGGCAGCCCCTGCGGTGGCGCCGCTGGGGGCGCTGGAGGAGGGGAAGACCCCCCCTGCCTGGACGAGATAGAATTATTATTAATTATTATTATTAATAATTATTATTATTGTGTGCGTGTGTGTGCGTGTACAAGGGCAAAACGTACAAGAAGGGCAAAACGCGCCCTCTCTCTCTCTCTCTCTCTCTCTCTCTCTCTCTCTCTCTCTCTCTCTCTCTCTCTCTCTCTCTCTCTCTCTCTCTCTCTCTCTCTCTCTCTCTCTCTCATTCTTATTCCAGGCCCGCCAGGATGCTGCCCACTCGGGTTTAACTTTCCAAATTGTTATCAAGGATAATAATGGTCAAGTTTGGAAGGCTGGAGTTATCCAGGTCTGGAAAAATGACTGGAGTTATCCAGGTCTGGAAAAATGACTGGAGTTATCCAGGTCTGGAAAAATGGCTGGAGTTATCCAGGTCTGGAAAAATGGCTGGAGTTACCCAGGTCTGGAAAAATGGCTGGAGTTATCCAGGTCTGGAAAAATGGCTGGAGTTACCCAGGTCTGGAAAAATGACTAGAGTTATCCAGGTCTGGAAAAATGGCTGGAGTTACCCAGGTCTGGAAAAATGACTGGAGTTATCCAGGTCTGGAAAAATGGCTGGAGTTACCCAGGTCTGGAAAAATGACTGGAGTTATCCAGGTCTGGAAAAATGGCTGGAGTTACCCAGGTCTGGAAAAATGACTGGAGTTATCCAGGTCTGGAAAAATGACTGGAGTTATCCTGGAAAACAGTGAGGCTGGATAAAGCCATCTAGGTTTGATGCTGATGACTGTGGTCGTAGTAGTAGTAGTAGTAGTAGTAGTAGTAGTAGTAGTAGCAGTAGTAGTAGTAGTAGTGGTGGTGGTAGAGAGTAGTGGGCTGGTAGGTCCCTAGCCCAGGGGGTCGTGAGTATGGTAGTGTTACTAGTGATTGTGGTAGTGTCCAGTAGTACTAGGAGGGTCGTATCTGGTAGTAGTGGTAGAGGAGAGGGTAGTGGGCTGGTAGGTCCCTAGCCCAGGGGGTCGTGATTGTTATTAGTGATAGTGGTAGTGTCACTAGTGATTGTGGTAATGTCTAGTAGTACTAGGAGGGTCGTACCTGGTAGTAGTGGTAGAGGAGAGGGTAGTGGGCTAGCAGGTCCCTTGCACGGGGGTCGTGAAGCAGGTCCTTGGCACGGTGGTGGTCGTACAGGACCCTCAATCCCGCCAACCTGGGGTCGTGCAGGTCACGGTGGTCATGTAGGTCACGATGCTGGTCGTGTAGGTCACGATGGTGGTCGTGCAGGTCGTGGTGGTGGGCGTGGAAGTGGTCGTGTTCCAGGTGTCGTCTGGCTACCAGCGGCCGCAGTGGTGTAGCATGCGGCGGCGGAGACGCTGGCTTGGTTACCTGCGGCACCCACAGCCACGACCATACCATTATTATTATTATTATTATTATTATTATTATTATTATTATTATTATTATTATTATTATTATTATTATTATTATTATTATTATTATTAAGCAGGAGAATACGCAGAGAAGCGTAATATTAAGCAATAACGGTAATTTAAAAAGCGTATTTAACTGGAGGAACAGCCAGTAATGAGGACTGTCAGTGCCAAGTGAGTGACTGGGAAGTGCTATAACCTTGTTTGTAAGAAAGTGGCACTCACACTGTGACAGGACTACTGTCATAATGACAGTACTGGACAGTGGCACTCATATTGTGAGAGGACTACTGCCATAATGACAGTACTGGACAGTGGCACTCATACTGTGAGAGGACTACTGTCATTATGACAGTACTGGACAGTGGCACTCATACTGTGAGAGGACTACTGTCATAATGACAGTACTGGACAGTGGCACTCATACTGTGAGAGAACTACTGTCATAATGACAATACTGGACAGTGGCACTCATACTGTGAGAGAACTACTGTCATAAAGACAGTACTGGACAGTGGCACTCATACTGTGAGAGGACGTACTGTCATAATGACAATACTGGACAGTGGCACTCATACTGTGAGAGGACATACTGTCATAAAGACAGTACTGGACAGTGGCACTCATACTGTGAGAGGACATACTGTCATAAAGAGAGTACTGGACAGTGGCACTCATACTGTGAGAGGACTACTGTCATAATGGCAGTACTGGACAGTGGCACTCATACTGTGAGAGGACGTACTGTCATAATGACAATACTGGACAGTGGCACTCATACTGTCAGAGGACGTACTGTCATAAAGAGAGTACTGGACAGTGGCACTCATACTGTGAGAGGACTACTGTCATAATGGCAGTACTGGACAGTGGCACTCATACTGTCAGAGGACGTACTGTCATAAAGAGAGTACTGGACAGTGGCACTCATACTGTGAGAGGACTACTGTCATAATGACAGTACTGGACAGTGGCACTCATACTGTCAGAGGACGTACTGTCATAAAGAGAGTACTGGACAGTGGCACACATACTGTGAGAGGACTACTGTCATAATGACAGTACTGGACAGTGGCACTCATACTGTCAGAGGACGTACTGTCATAATGACAGTACTGGACAGTGGCACTCATACTGTCAGAGGACATACTGTCATAATGACAGTACTGGACAGTGGCACTCATACTGTCAGAGGACATACTGTCATAATGACAGTACTGGACAGTGGCACACATACTGTCAGAGGACGTACTGTCATAAAGACAGTACTGGACAGTGGCACTCATACTGTGAGAGGACTACTGTCATAATGACAGTACTGGACAGTGGCACTCATACTGTCAGAGGACTACTGTCATAAAGACAGTACTGGACAGTGGCACTCATACTGTGAGAGGACTTCTGTCATAATGACAGTACTGGACAGTGGCACTCATACTGTGAGAGGACTACTGTCATAATGACAGTACTGGACAGTGGCACACATACTGTCAGAGGACATACTGTCATAAAGACAGTACTGGACAGTGGCACACATACTGTCAGAGGACGTACTGTCATAAAGACAGTACTGGACAGTGGCACTCATACTGTCAGAGGACAATACAGAGCAAATATAAGTTTTTACACAATAAAGATATTTCTCACACACTAGCATTGTCCCACTGAGGTAGGGTGAGCTAACAGAAGAAAATACATTCGCCATCATTCATTCAATAGCTTTCTTGGCATTTGAAAGAATGTCAATAGAGAGTGGCATTGCTTTGTAAAGCACAGTGCCAGGACAATACACGGAGGTGTTGTCACAGCAATTAATTGGCAGCAACACCTGCCCAGGTGTTAGTGAAAGCACTGAGTTATTGGGTTTCTTTACTTACCTCCATCACTTTCACTCTCTTGGGTGTGGGTTCCATGATGCGGTCAATGGAGAAAGCTAGGGGAGCTCTGCTGCGCGTGTGGGCGGCCGGGCTGTGTGGGCGGTCTTCCTCCGAGGTGTGGGCGGCCGGGGTGTGCGGGCGGTCTTCCTCCGGGGTGTGTGAGGAGCTGTGTCTCGGGCTGTGCTCTTGGTTACGACCCAAGGGGCTAGGGACTCGCAGGAGGGCTCCCTGAGATACGCAACTCTCAACTTTGGGAGTGCGTCTGGGCCCCTCCCCAATGGTCTGTTCTATTTCCCCACTCAGCCTTCTTTCCAAGGTGTCTATTGGGTCTTTTTCCTCCTGCCCCTCCGTCAGGAGCTCTGGCATCCTGGGAGAGGATAGGGGAGACGAGCTCTCCTCCGTGGTCATGGTGGGGTATTGCATGGGAGACGTATCTGGTCCAACAACACCTGGAGACCAGCCTGGGAGACCGAGGCAGGCTCTAACAGTACAGAGACCTCAGGCTTTTTAAGGGAATGTCGAACTCCTGCCTGGTTTATAGTCTTCCGGTTCCTAGTTTATTGTCTTCCAGCTCCTGGTCTTCAAGTTCCTGGGCTCATATCTGCAAAGATACAAGAGACAGACTGTTAAATGAAGCTCGTTGTTTGTAACTGTCCAGCCACACTAGCTGGGCCAGGCGCCACATCAAGTATCCCAGACGCCACATCAACTACCCCAGACGCCACATCAACTACCCCAGACGCCATATCAACTACCCCAGACGCCACATCAACTACCCCAGACGCCACATCAACTACCCCAGACGCTACATCAACTACCTCAAAACATCAGTCAGTCCCTGCCGCCCCAGGTGTCGTCTCTCACCCAAGTTTCTGCAAGTGCACAATATCAACACAAGTGCTTTTATTAATCTGGCCGTCCATAATGGCCCTCCCAAGCACTTTGCATGCGTCAGTGAAAGCAGGTCTAGCGAGGAGTGAGGGCCGCTCCTCTAAATACAACCTAAGAAGTGAACAATGAAACCCATTTAGCAGTGAAAGCCAGCCAATATCCCGGAGAAGCCGGCACACAAAGGGCCCATGCCAAGGACTTATGAAACCTCTTCCGAACTGGGAGAAGAGGGCTGGTGCCTTCTCTTCTACCGTCTCGCTTTATATCTCTCTCTGCCCCCCTCTCTCTCTCTCTCCTTCTTTTTATAACCTTTTCCACGTTACCCCTTCGCTCGGAATAGTGGCTGAGGTAGTGAGTTGGACCCACCCCGAGTGTTTTCGAGTGTTCCTACGAGTGTAGAGGCTCTCGTATATGCCCGAAAGAGAACAGTTCCTCTCCCCAATTTCTCCATCTCGTGAGCAGTCGAAATAAAAGCGACTAAAATGACTGCCAGGAGGAAAGGTTAGTGTCGCTGGGAGTCAGTCATATTTCCCTGCCCTCTCTCTCGCCGTTGGGGAGGGGGGGGGGTCGGGCTTGAGGTTTGTGTGGGGGGAAGGGGCGCCTGGGTGTTTGGGTGAGAGGTGGGGGCGGCGGCCCCCCACGGAGGCCACATATTGAAGAAAGCTCTCCCCCTCCTCCAGCTCCTACCGGGTGTGCTGGTCTCCCACCTTCCTCGCGGAAATGGACTGGTTCAGTTGACAAAAATACCCTTTTACAGCAGCACGCGCTCACCCCAGCCCTCCCCCAGGTCCATGCTGGCACCCCAGCCCTCCCCCAGGTCCATGCTGGCACCCCAGCCCCGGGGCCACACTCACAGCCCCTCAGGACCACACAGTATCGTCTTGGGGACCACACAGTATCGTCCTGAGGACCACACAGTATCGTCCTGAGGACCACACAGTATCGTCCTGAGGACCACACAGTATCGTCTTGGGGACCACACAGTATCGTCTTGGGGACCACACAGTATCGTCCTGAGGACCACACAGTATCGTCTTGGGGACCACACAGTATCGTCCTGAGGACCACACAGTATCGTCTTGGGGACCACACAGTATCGTCCTGAGGACCACACAGTATCGTCCTGAGGACCACACAACAATTCTCTCGTAAGCACTACTTAAGGGACCCCCTCTGTGAGGCCCCTAAGACTCGGTCTTAGGGTCTCCACAGAGGTGTCTAATCCACACTCTTGGTCTTCTGGAAGATCTAACGGATCTCTGACCCACACCAACACACACACAAACTCATGGAGCAGGGAGAGAGTGGACCTGTTAGCGACCAATGAAGAGGCGGGCCAGGGGCTACGATTCAACCCCCTTCAACAACAATTAGGACAATTAGGTGAGTAAACAAACACACACAAATGCACACACACACATTAGGTGAGGCCAGGAGCTGTGAATCAACCCCTGCACCGCATACAGACACCACCAACACCACGCGTCACTACCAGACTGTAACAACCACCACTACCACACTGTAACAACCACCACCACACCCAAACAGTACCCACTACCGATACACCACCACAACCACAACCAACCAAAACCACTCCCTCACACTAACACACCACCAACCACCATCACAGACATGAACTACAACTATTTCCACCTACCACCCTTCAACTACCACCTCCTTCCGGACACCACAGATCCAACCAGGAATGGTGGCTCTCAGAGAGAGAGAGAGAGAGAGAGAGAGAGAGAGAGAGAGAGAGAGAGAGAGAGAGAGAGAGAGAGAGAGAGATTGCTGAGGAGATGTGCAGACGAGCTAGCAGCACCTCTAACTCGCATCTTTCAGCACTGCCTAGTACAGTGTAAATGGCCCTCTCCATGGAAAGAGGCAAATGTAGTCCCTGTTCACAAAAAGAAGAGCAGAGTAGAAATCAGCAACTACAGACCAGTGTCACTCCTGTCAATCACTGGTAAGATCCTTGAGACAATAATCTCAAGACAAATGACAGAGTTTTTTGACTACCACTCACTACTTTGTGATCGTCAATATGGCTTCAGGAAAGGTTACTCTGCTGCTGATCTGTTGTTAAACCTCTCCACTAAGTGGCACCAGTCACTGGATGAATCCAAAGTCAGCTGTGTGGTAGCACTGGACATTGCTGGCGCTTTCGACCGGGTGTGGCACCAGGGCCTCTTAGCAAAACTTCAAGCACTGGGAATTGCAGGCTCTACGCTATGTCTCCTCAGTGATTACCTTCATGGTAGATCTCTAAGTGTAGTTCTCAATGGAACGGAATCAGCAAGACATCCTATTGGGCAAGTGCTCCACAAGGAAGCGTGCTGGGACCATTGTTATGGAATGTCTACTTCAACGACCTTCTTCATCTCATCCCAGAATCACATGCATATGCAGACGACTGTACACTGACATTCACTTATCCAAGAGAAGAAATGCCAGCTGCTCTAAGCTACATCAATCACCAGCTGAGAGCTATATCAGCTTGGGAAAATAGATGGCAAGTAACATTTGCACATGAGAAAACGCAAATGATGATCGTCTCTAGGTACCATGATGGTAATGCTGGTGCAGTAGTAAGGATGAATGGGAGGGTGTTGGCACCTGGAGAAGAAGTTGATATCCTTGGGGTGAAATTTGACTCCAAACTAACCATGAAGAACCATGTTGTAAATCTTGCAAACAAGGCAGCCAGGAAGCTTACAGCACTTCGCCGTATCTCCCATCTGCTTGACAGTAGGGGTTGCAAGATTCTGTACGAGGCACAAGTACGCTCACACCTTGAGTATGCTCCACTTTCTTGGTTCGCCTGCCCCCCCCCTCTCATCTGCGACTGCTTGACAGAGTAGAGAACAGAGCAAGACGTCTCATCTCTCGCCTGGACCCATCCTGGATAGATCTGTCATTTCAGCAGAGCCTTCAACATAAGGGGGATGTGGGTGGCCTTACTGTTATGTACAAGGCCAATATTGTCAAAGTACCACACTTGGATCCACTTCGAGGACAGCGTGAAACAAGCTTTTATGCCACAAGACGGGCAAAAAGCAGCAACTTCACTCTGGCTGTACCCTTCTCCAGAACATCACTCCATCTGAGATCCTATATACCCAGAATGACTCGAGTATGGAACACATTCGTACAGCATAATGATGTCAACGAGATAAAGTCAGTTGATCAAATGAAAATGCTGGCCCACAGATGGCTCCAACTTCATCCTGTTCCCTACTTGTATGTCTCATAACAATAAAAATGCTTTCAAATGAGCTGATGTAGGTAACAGCTGTTAGCTTGTCAATAAAGTTAGGAATCCTTAACCTGTAAATAGCTTGTCAATAAAGCTAGGGATCCTTAACCTTGTCAAACCCTGTGTAAAAAAAAATAGGGAGAGAGAGAGAGAGAGAGAGAGAGAGAGAGAGAGAGAGAGAGAGAGAGAGAGAGAGAGAGAGAGAGAGAGAGAGGAGAGAGAGAGAGAGAGAGAGGAGAGAGAGAGAGAGAGAGAAGCTCTTTTACTGATAGCTTCCAGGAGAGTGGAAAAGAGAATCTTCAACCATTTCCCCTGCCATCCCCTGCCACCCACACCTGCCATCCCCTGCCACCCACACCTGCCATCCCCTGCCACCCACCCTTGCCACCCAGTGGATCAGCCACTGTGAAAATGAGCCACTACGGAGATTAACCTCGGCTCCTGGAGCCATTCTTCCATGATCTTGGGGTTGCTATTAGCTTAAAATCTTGGGAAAAGGGAGAGAAAGGGGAACAGAAGTGGCACCGCCCCTTTCCCCAAGCCCACGTATCTGTGCCACTAACAAGCCCCCCGCCCCCGCCCACACCTTCACAAACACACGCCCTCCACTACCCCAGCCCACACCCAGGGGCGCCAGTGTTGACATTCCCACTACTACAATAACTACTACTACTACTACTACTACTACTGCTGCTGCTGCTGCTGCTGCTGCTGCTACCACTACTATTACTACTACTACCAACACTACTACTAAAACTTCTACCACTATGTTGGGGATGCTGGGGAATGCTGGGGGATGCTAGGGGATGCTGGAGATGTTGGTGGATGCAGAGGGGTGTTGGGAATGCTACCTATCTGGAGTCTACCTTTAGGGTATTCCGGGGATCAACGCCCCTGGGGCCCGGTCCACGACCAGGCCTTCCGGTGGATCAGGGCCTGATCAACGAGGTTATTACTGCTAGCCGCACGCAGTCCAACGTACGAGCTACAGCCCGGCTGATCCGGCACCGACTTTAGGTATCTGTCCAGCTCCCTCTTGAAGACAACCAGGGGTCTACTGGTAATTCCCCCTATGGCTGGTGGGA